ATGCAATGAAACAAAGCTTATATACATGCACTGAAAATTTTATATAGAAAAATGTCTGTTAATTAAAATAAGGGTCATAATTCTAGCCATTGCTGGAAACAAGATAAAATGTGCTGGTTGGATGGGGCTTAGTAAACGACAACTATTTCACTGAAATGTTTGTCATTTTGCAGGTTCTTTGAAATTGAAGAGGAAGATGAGCATGGTGAAACATCTGACATACTAGTGCAACCACCTCCCCTCCCCTCTGATATTTGTGAATCATCTACATCTGATCATTATTTTGTATCTGAGCAACCCAGGCAGTCTCCACCAAAAACATTTTTGGCCTCCAATGTTAAACCAAGATCACATGAACTGAATAGGGAAGAACATAACGTAAAGCACGAAGAGCTGATTAAACTTGCTAAATCGACCAAAATAATTTGCACACTAGATTTGTTGCTTCAGATCTTTCAAGAGAAATGCAGGCATCCAGCATGCAATGACAAAGTGTATACAAAGCACACTTTAATTGGCACATGTGTACTGATTGAGTGGACATGCCATAGTGGTCATGCTGGGAAATTCTACTCTTCTTATGATTGTAATCGGATTGCTGCCACAAATCTGCAAACTGCAGCATCCATTTTGTTATCAGGAAACAATTTTTATAAAATGGAGAAGTTTGCCAGATTCTTAGGGTTGTCATTTATTTCAAGTTCAACATTCTTTCGTTTCCAAAGGCTTTATTGTTTACCAGTTATAAATGAGTGGTGGGAATGGCATAAAGGTTTTCTGCAAAACAAACTGAGAGGGAAGAAAATTGTGGTGTCTTGGGATGGTCAGTGTGACTCTCCAGGCTACTCAGCTAAGAACCTGTGCTATTTTCTGATGTAGATGGAAACAGATTACATTATTGACCTTCATATTGCTGATAAAAGGCAAACTGATCTAAAATCAGTCAATATGGAACGTGAAGCACTGAAAATTATTTAAAACCGAATAAAAAATGTCCTTGATATTGGAGAGGTTGTCACAGATGCTTCATCTAGTATAATCAAGATGTTAGGTGAATATTTAATAATATTTCTTTGGATAATACTAAACTTAATGACCAGTGGAAAAGCCAGCCCAAGAATTTGGTCATGCAATGCAAATTTGTAATCATTATTCATATCTTTGGAAATTGACTGTTTTCACAGTCTATTAACATGGAAATATTTGCATTGTATGACCAAAATGTGGGCAGGCTTCACCACTGTTAACGATATGTATTATTAATCAGGATGGTGAAAGTTATTTTAATTTTTTTTATGTAGAGGATGAATTTAGGAATATCTTTCATTCATTGGATGTTTGGCATAAGTCTAAGAATATTAGAAAGGCCATTACCAAGGTTTGTAACAAAACTAATGTGCCTGTTGATATGTCAATGACATTTTGTTATTTTCTTTTCCATCCATACAATTTTTGCAGAAAACCATTACCTCTGGCAGGCGATTTTGTTTTCACTCCTGTTTGTTTGTCTGTCTTTTAATGCGTAAACAATTTTTAAGAAACGCAAAGAATATTCATAGGCGTACGGAACAGGGGGGCAACGCCCCCCCCCCCCCCAAATTTTGAAACACCATGGAAATTCAGGCAAATGCTGGAAAAATTAAGACAACTCGGGCAGATTTATTAGAAAATAGGTTAAATTCAGGCAATTTCATTGCAATCCTCCATAAAAATTTGGGCAAACTTTCACCTGCATCCCCCCTGGAAAGCATCAGTCCTGTATGCCTATGAGAATATTCATATGCCAGAGATGAAACCATTACATTTTGGTTAATGTTGGATAAGAATCAGATGAAATATTGACGAAATTCAGCCTTACAGGCAAGCTTTTATGGGTTATGCAAATTATGGTATGCAAATTACTGTAGGTCATTGAAGAGAGTTAACACATACCACATAATGTTGGTTTGTTGCCTAACGTAAGATTAATAGTAGAGCATATTGGCAGAAGTTTGCATTCTGGAGGAGTGCTTTCTAGTTTTAATCTTATAGATTGCAAAATCAAAGGAAAACAAAAAAATTATGGACTGGTGTGATGAAATCATTAAACACTTTTGGTACTGCTGTGAAGTAGCCTCCAAGAATGAAATGACTCAGGATGAAGCTGTGAAGGAAATGAAGGTAAATGTTCATCTCTAAGTTTCTTTCCATAATCATTAAGCCATGTGTTCGATACATTGTGCCTTAAAATGATTTGAATAATTGACTGGGTCACATGATATACATTAATATGTAAGCAACGCATTCTGATCGACTGCTGCTACTATACAATATTTAACAAAATATAAAACATTTTCCATGTTGATATACAGTTATATCAACATGAGTGGAATTGGGAAAACGAGAAATTGTATGGAAACACGACACCTGAAGGGCGGAGTGTTTTCATACAATTTCGAGTTTTCCCAACTTCCACGAGTGTTGATATAACAATATATCAATACGGAAAAAATGTTTTATATATTTTTATAATATAGCAATGTCAAAAGCGCGAAGGATAAAAAAAATTTCCGTGTTTACAAGCAGCAGAAAATTTCCTGTGTCGACATTGAGTTATATCAACATGGCTCTTAGCCAATTAGCGTTCAGAATTTACAAATGCTATACTATAATATAATTTTGTTTATGTTTTTGTTTTTACTTTATTATTTTACTCTGTCTAATGTCAGACGATTTTACTTGTCAATGGGAGAGTTTTGCACTTTAATGGCATTTTTATTATGGCATTTCAAGGTATTGCACAGATTTTTTCTATTTGTCTATTTTAGGCACACAGGTAGCATAGAATGTGCTAATAATTTGTCACTGGCATACTGTCCAAAGAGATGTTCTTTTAAGTAAGTAGTATTTTTCGAGCTTCTTGATTTATACAGCCAACAGTAAGTCAATGATAAGCAATTTAATGTCTTGACATGGTTGAAATAGTTTGTTGCATCTGCTGATGTTACAGGTTTCCAGTGTTTACTGCCAGAAAACAGTTTTAATAGCTGCTATCGACTGGAATTACCATAAGGACTTACCTGCAAACTTACCTCTCGTCCTGGAGAGGCAATGGTAAGCCGAAAGTGCAACCAAAGAACAAAATCATGGGACTCGAAGATCATTAAAAAAGCAAAGTACTATGCATATGTTACCTTGATGGTGGAAAAAATACTTGACAGTAGGATGGCTGACAAAAAGAGTGTGAAACGGAAAGTTCATTTGAGTGATGATGATCCCAGAAAAATCAGTGCAACAATTGCAGGGGTTGCCCCAGAAGATTCAAGGACACTTCATCAAAGGAAAGTGAGCAGGTTTCAGAATTGTTGATGGATATGCTATGTCAGTTATTGTGAAACTGCTCCATCACAACAAAATCTGTCTTTTTACTGAATAAAAATTATTTATACCACAAATCTCAATGTTCTCGATATCTCATATATACACCAGTTGGAGATGGATAATATCATCTAATGCATGTCACCACACATGATGGGGCCACTTTTCTGTTTCCTTTACCTAAATATCCATATGTATCTAAAATATAATGTCGGTATGCCTGCTTTCTAAATGCCCTGGTGTTATTATCATGTGGGTCATTCCGGATATCACCAACATTTCGGCTGCTAAGTAGCAAAAATTCTGGGTCAAGACAAAGTTTTCTAAATCTTCTTGTGTTTGTAACACACTTCTTGTGCTTACAGCACTTGTTTTCAATTGCCTGGGGCATGATAAAGCAATGATCACATCTGCACCAATCAGGAACAGGTTCCTGTCTTGCATTGCTGTTTGATGGTGATGATGCTTCCTGGATATTCTGTTGTACAGGTGGTACTTCATCCTCATCACCTTCATACATTACAATCATCATGCTATGAATATAATCCATACTGCCAACCCCCTTTTGGAGGACACACGTTGCAAGCTGTTTGACCATATCAGCATCCAAAGTTTCAAGAAATGCCTAATAATTTGAAATAATGTAATATGCATTATAAGTTATGCTAATAAATAGGTTTTTATGATGGCCTCTTTGCAAGTTGAGGGTATTTTTAAAATAGGTGGCAGGCACACCTTTGAACTTAAGTCTACACTCTACACACATCCTAGTTGAAGGGTTTTTATGTACATTGGGGGTTAATTATGATGTGATAGGCCACAAAGTAAAAATTTTGCCCTGTCCCTACACAAACTCTCATTGCAGCCCTATTCAATTTTTATGTACCTGAAACATATATAGGGAAATTCAGACAGAAATCAGTAATTTTGAAGGTATTAAAACAAAATCACCTGATATATCTAATTAAAAGCACACGATTCTTGATTCTCGGCATTACTCCATTAGTTTGTGAAACACTATGTAAATTTGTTTATGTTGAAAATATGATTCAATGATCCATGACATAATTATGTCCTTTAAATATAAAACAAGGCAGCTTTTGCAAAGTGCACAGACTACATTATATTCAAGTTTGAAAATTTTATACTTGCATTTCTTACCTTAACTTGATTGTTTTCCAATCTGTTTTCATCATCCTCTGATTGTCTTAAAGCAGGTGTTGATAGATCATTTGACTGGTCATCATGGCTACTTTGGCCAGCAGATTGGGATTTACTTCTCTTTTTTTTTGGTGGCGGAACATATCCTTCCTGTATAACAGATAATAAACAATCAACCGACATCATAAACAGTTGCAACAAAATATATGAAAAGATAAAACATAAGAAACGAAGTATACATGTAAGGAAATGCATAACAGAGCTTATAATATATACATATATGCTATAAATCTGCATAAGAATACGTATTTCCCAAATATTTTATGCAAAATAGGCGCAATACAGTGTTGAGTTACTTATGTAAAATGAACAAACCTACCTTGTTTATGCATGATTTCTCTTTATTTCCGCATACACATAACTGAGAACAGTAACGACCAGCTGTTCTGCAGGGGCAACCCTTCTTCTTTTCGCCATCTTTCTTCGAGCACGTATTTCTGCATTTGCAGTCTGACAACTGGCAAGAAATTTAATGGTGACTAACTAGTTTATTCCGAGAAATAACACAATTATATTAAAATAAACAAAACGTACCTTTTCATTTATAGACGAAGACATTAAACAAGGTCATATATATAAAAAAGCAGTGAAATCTGAGTTCGCTGAATAAAGTCAATTTCATTTGTGTTACACAAAGTACAAACATTTTGCTGCTGATCATGAGGACTTTGCGCCGTTTATATTAGCCAATCAGCGCCGTGACACTGCCCCTTTAAGTAGGGCCCTATTTTTTCCCAAAAAATTTTCGAACCATATATATTCATTAAAAAAGGGGTTCAAAAAATTTTCCGGACTATGACAAGTAAAAAAATGTAACAAACATTTTTCACCATCCATGTCTACTAAAGTAAAAAGAGGTCCAAATTTCACAATTTCACCAATTCCTGCTTTTGGGGGCCACCCGCTGCAAATGAGAAGGTTCTCAATAACTGAGGCCCGGGCCAATTTGCCCAATGAACTAGAAAACATTTTATGGCAAATTTTGCCGGGGGCCCCCCGTCTCTGGACACACGGGCACCCGGCAGTTACGCCACTGACTATAGTAGGATTCAAACCTGTAGTATGCTAGTAACTGAACTATGAGGTCGGTGTGAAGAAAAGGGGGAACAAAAGTCGCGGGTTCGAATCCCAATGCAGTCAAAACATAGTTTACTTTATCGCTATAAGCTCGGAAATCCTGAAGCTTCTTCTAAAACTAAGATCCTAAAAGTGTTTGTCAGTATTTATATATACTGTAGTTAGTTTGCATAATTTATTTGTGTGGAAATTCTTCATTGCGGCCAAGAGCTAAAAGTTTAAAGGAAAGCGTAATAATAATGAGCTAGTGCAGTCACTAGATAATATAAAGAATATTAAGAGGCTGTCTCCCTAAGATCCACCTACTGACTCTCGCGTTGAAAATTATTTTACCTTCATATTTCGATCATTTGTTAGCCTTTGTTACTAGGTAATAAATATGCATACATCTTTTGGATTCTTGTTTTATTTTTCAAGTTTTGCTATATTTTCTATTTTGTGTCTGCCATGGCTATTTTTAGACAGTTTCAGACTGACGTAAAATTATCCATTTTCAAAGGAACTCCAGATATGTGTACGACATAATTTGATTTTGATTTTTGGGTCATCCGAAAGATTTACATCTATACAACAACTTGACGGCAATGATTTGTATATATTACAGGAATTTGGGTTTTTTTTTAATTTTTTCTGACGCCAATTTCGACTTGCTGGCAAAATTGCGAAAATAACCATCTTTCAACTTTTTTTTTTCAAAAGTGCAACCAGTTATACACCCAGACTAAACTGGAAATTATATTACAAATATTGTTCTATAATTCTATGAAAAAACCTTTTGGGGAAACAAACTGGTGCGCTCTGAATTTAAATGAAATATTTGCAAATTTGACGTGGCATTAACTACACTCGGGAATTATCATCTCAGTATGACATTGAACAAACAACTTATATAATATGTTTATAAGACATTTGATCACGTCTATTTGACATTTCCAAAGAAAAAGAACAATATTTCACGCATGCTGTTTGTTTTCGCTAGCATACTTTTGAAATAGATAAAAACAAGCGTGTTCCTTGGTATAATTTCAATCACAAAAATCGTCAATTAAGGGTTTTCTGTATATTCATCCAGTTTTATCAAATATTTATTGCTGTAGTATCAGCACAAACATGCAATCACTCTTGTGAACATAAAATAACATTCAAAAATTGACGGGGGCAAAAATTAAGAAACAAACAGCTTAATAGTACAGCGGGTTTTCCCCCAACGTAGCTATCAAATGTGCTGTGCTATTTTTAGACTGAATCATGTTCATTACATCATTCTCTTTTTAGAAACGCGTGTTTAATAAATATAACGTACATGCACTGAATTCAACTTAAACTATTACTTTAAAACTATCATGGATTTGCCTTGTTTCTGACTGTGTTAATATCCTTGAATGTTCAGGTAATGTGAGCACTCACTTGTCGAGATGTCATCTGTCAAGAGAAAAACTGCGAATATGAGCTTATTTTATTGCTTTGCGGCATGTTTGATATTTCCCATGATTAACTACAACATATGAGAATTTGGCCCAACCATCGGTACAATTTGGGAAAATTCTGGCGTCCATCACGTGTTTGCCAATACCCACTCCATACTGGTTCAAACTTTGCCGTTAAGGGGGACACGTCATAACACTACAGCTTACCAAAGACGCACATTTACTCTTTGGGAAACAGTGCCTATCGGGTCTCGTAAGTACTTATTCTTATCTTGGAATCGTTTCCTTGACTTTTCTCTTCAACAGTACGGCATGGACACAGGGACGCCGGAACGATAATAAGGCAAAGGGCACCTCTATAGAGCAAAACTTCAAAATCTACCGGAAAATTTTTTTTCAATGGAAATTTTTTGGCGACCTCCCACGCCCCCCCCCCCCCCCCCCCCCCCAAAAAATTTTCGGTCAGTGTACCATTTTAGGGGTCAAAAATTTTTTCCGGACATACCAAAATTTGCCGTGAAGTCAAAAATTTTTCCGGATATCTTAAATTTTCGCCATTTCTTCAAAATATTTTTCAAAACTCCAAAAATTTTCCAAAATTTTTATAAATATGAACTATAAATTACCTGAATCTCATGATTTTCCTACAAAAAGCATCGTTGGAAATGTGATTTATCCCATAGTATTTTACAACTAAAAGGGCACTTCTGCCCCCCCTGCCCCCCTAGCAAACGGCGCCCCCCCCCCATTGTTGAGACCTGTCGGAAAATTGGTAATATTGTCGGAATCTTTGTGGTCAAACATACCTGCATATACGCAGGCAATGCTAGTTCGGAAAAAGTGCTACGAAAGCAATTATAACGTTCTTATCCAGAAACCTTTTTGACCAAAA